CTACAGGTTGAGTGTGGCTGGTCAGCCAGTTACAAATCCCTCTGGTGGTGATGCTATCCAACCCACCTTCTTCTCCTTTAACTAGTAGTAGGTTATGGTCTACCTTATCAAATGCCTTACTGAAGTCCAAGTAACTATATCAAAAGCATTCCTCTGGTCCACTAATTTTGTCACATTATCAAAGAATGCAATAAGATTAGTCTGGCATGCAGGGGAGAGCAGTTAAAACAAGCCATAAACAACCATGTAGGCTACAAATTACATAATCTTTATTGCAAGGAGAAGGTAAAGAACGGCTGAGAGAATAGGGGAAGCCTGCAGACTTAATAATGAGGGATTTAATACTGTTAAAAATTCCTCGGAGGCAAAATAACAGAAGAAGCTGAGATGCAGAACTTTAGATAATAGGGAGCAGGCCACAATCTGGGCCAGACCTAACCTATCATTAGACAGAGTGAGATGACTGCCTCAAGCAGCAGACAACAAAATGTGATTCAATGTACTTATTCAGACATCCTCAGCATATGGAACTGTATATCATATATTTTACCTTTTTTGCCCAGACACTAAAATTGTCTTTGACTGGGCCTGGTTGCAAGGATCTAAGACAGGGGTGTCAAATTCAATTTCATTGAGGGCTGCATCAGGGTTGTGTTTGAATTTGGGGGGCTGGGGTGGAGGGGCCAGGGTGGGCATGGCCAGCTCAACGTCACTCTTGCCTGTGGTGGCCCGAGCACTCCGCCAGCGAAAATGGGCTCCCGAGCTCCGTTTTTGGCTGCCACGGCCTTCTGCAACCCTCTGCCAGTGAAAATGGAGCTCAGGAGCCCATTTTCGCTGGCAGAAGCACTGCGAGTCAGTCCTTCTCTGTTTCCAGTGGCCTCACGGACCAGATCAAAGTACCCCATGAGCTGGATCTGGCCCCCGGGCCTTGAGTTTGACACCCCTGGTCTATGACAATTTGCCATGATCAACTCCTCACAGCCAACTTGCTGTGGGACAAGAGTTACATTAATATCGAAGAAATGGTGGAATCGAATCATTAAAGAAAGAATGCCAAAGGAGGGACAGAATGAAACGTAAATGACATAAATCAAAATGATTTTTAAATTTATTTTAAATAATTAAATTGAATTGTTAAAAAGTCCCCCATGGTAAGAAGGCTGTGGTGGGTTGTCCCATTCTGGGTTTCAACAGCTGCTCCCAGCTGTGTAGAAGTCATCTGGAATTAGGCTCTCCAGGGACATTGTTCAGGAAGAAGAGTCAGCCCATTTATCCCTCTGGCCTCTCTATATCGGTAGTCCTCGACTTATGACCGCAACTGAGCACAAAATTTCTGTTGCTAACTGTTAAGTGAATTTTGCTCTGTTTTACGACCTTTCTTGTCACAGTGTTAATTAAATCTCTGCAGTTATTAAGTTGGTAACACAGTTGTTAAATGAATCTGGCTTCGCCACTGACTTTGCTTATCAGAAGGTTGCAAAAGTTGACTGCATGACCCTGGAATACTGTAACTGTAATGGTCATAAGTGTGAAAAATGGTCATAAGTCACTTTTTTCAGTGACATTGTTACTTCAAATACACTGTTGTAAGCTGAGGACTACCAGTATGACCTGAGATGACAGTTATGAAGCACATAAGGTACAATGCTGTTCACTCTGTGTAATCACTGTGTATTCAACTGAGTTGGCAGGAAATCAAATTTATATGTGAGCCCCTCCAGCACACTGTTCAAAGATCAGTGTGGCTCTTAGCCTGGAAAAGGGTAACTTAATCCTAAAACAATGTTCAAATCCCAAAGAGATCTGGATTCAACCACCCTTTGGTCATGAAGCTCTCTGAGTCACCTTGTTTTCCCCAAAATAAGACCCAACTGGAAAATAACCCCTAGCATTATTTTTCAGGATGTTCGTAATTTAAGCCCTACCACCAAAATAAGCCCCAGTTAAGATCATCAACCAGACGGATGCATTTACTATTGTATTTTCCCCAAAACAAGACCTAACCAAAAATAAGCCCTAATGCATCTTTTGGAGCAAAAATTAATATAAGACCCAGTCTGATTGTCAGGGAAACACGATACTTTCCTATAGCTTGAAATGATTTGGTAACAGAACTGCCAATCAAAACACATTAACACAGAGTACTTCCCTCTCCCCCCCCATTTATATTTTTGGGGAGGTGCGAATTAAGGGGAGAGAGATTTGTGCGGGTTGGAGGGAAGGTCAGATTCCGAGCTTAAGAAAACGTTCATCTCTCTGAGCGACATTAGATAAATTTCCAACTCTTAAAATGATTTAATAAAGTTAATGTTTAAACGAGGGATCCAATTAACCAAGTGACTGTGCAATTTTATACTTTTCCCAAGTTCTGCCTTCTCAAGTTACCACAGATGTATTTGGAGAAAATATGGAGAAAAAAGAACCTCTAAAGAAGGGAAGGGCATGATGATGACATCAAAACCATTAAAACTCTTGTGTCTGTCTGTCTATTTGTTTGTAGCCTTTGACTAAGCAAAATGGAGTATCACAGAGCAACCATTTTTAATCAACATATCTCAAATGTTCTCACTTACAGAATGCATCCAAAATTCAAGAGCCATGACTCATGTCGGATTGAAAGTTGCAAGCTTCATCATTTCTAATGCTCCCTGCCAGCTTCCTATAAGAAAATTAATGGTGGGGGAAGCTGGCAAGAAGTTGGAAATCATGCCTGCTCCCACTGATTTTTGCCTGTCCATCATTTTATGACTGTGTCGCTTAGCAAAGGTCCCAATGACTGCCATTAAGCAAGGACTACCTGTAATACTTTCAGAATAATGATTCCTTAACATCAGCTTGGAGGGCCAGTTAGCAACAAGGGCAGATAATCTTCCCAGAGGGATGCACTTTTTGACATTATTGGATGGGTATCAGCAATAAGTTTTTTTTTAAAAAAAAATCCACAACAACTGCAAAAGGAACAGAGGGGTTTCTCCTGATCCAGATGGGACAACAGAGAAAAGCAGCGGCCCACCAGTATGATGTAACATACCAAAGCCGAGAGGTTGCCCTCCAATGCGAACCATCTTCCAGAGTTCTCCTGATGCGCTTGTAAACAACAGATTAGTAGGAAACCTAAACAGAGAAACAGACATAGAGAAAATAGCAGAAAAAGAAAGAGGTGTCAAAACAATATATATATAAATATACAACCAATTCTAACAATCAATTCTGAATCAATAATTCAATGGTAGCTGAGGGATGTCTACAGACATCTATCTTTATCTATTTATCGCCTATCTGTCTGTCATCTATCCATCTATGTATCCATCCATCCATCCATCCATCCATCCATCCATCCATCCATCCATCCATCCATCCATCTATCGCATCCTCTTTTTGAAAGGATTGTTTGGTTTAGCCCAGTAAGAGGCAATCTTTATGGACTGGGAATATAACTGGAATTTTGAGTCTATCTCAGGAAATGGCTGCCAAGAGAAACTTGTCTTTTTGTAAAATGGCTGTCTTGGTGGGGGCATGGCTAGTTATGAAACATCCATTTTTCAGAAGGTGGAGGAGATCCTCAGAATACTCTCTATCTCACTCCAATCAATCAAATATTTATTACAGTTATAGATCAACATATATCCTACTCTAGGAAAACCTAAACACATTCTTGAAGATAAGTGTGATTCTAAAGACTAGCATATTGACTCTGCAGCAGCATGCATCTTTCTATCTGATTTTTTAAAAATAAAAGACCAAGAGAGTTATGGAGGCATCAAAAGAAATTCCTGTACAAAAAAATGGTAATCTGAGGTTAGACCAAGAACCTCTTAATTATTCTGAGATTTTTTTCAGTCCCTTCTCGACAATGCACATAAAGACATCCAAAATCTTGACAAGTATTTCAGATTTGTTTCAGCTCTTACCTTTTCTGCGTCTGTACATCCATCACCAAAGAAATGTATCCCTCAATGAGAGAAAATGAGAAAAAACGAATGTGTTCAGAATCTTCATTGCTTGCCACTAAATCTTTTACTCTGGAGTAAAGACAAGAGGCAAAGAGAAGCGTAGTTAGGGCCCATCCAGCTTACGCAAAGTTTACTGGAAATGGACTGTGGGTTGTCAAATTACTGTTCCTAGTTATTATGGTTTGGAGATATATTATACTGGACTTTTTTCTCAGTGTCATAGAAAGTTGAGAGGAGTTTTTCTAAGCATCATTTCTCAAATTGTGAATCTGCCGCCACCACTGGATTTCAGCATTGCCTAGAAGGGTCCTATTGGTTCCTAGATAGCAGTTGAGAGAAGACACTCTAGGCCAGAGGTGTCAAACTCGCTTCATCATGGCGTGTCACGCAATATATCACAATCCCCCCCCCCCTTTGCTAAACCGGATATGGCTGTGGCCAGCGTGTACGCATCTGGCCTGTGGGCCATGAGTTTGACAGCCCTGCTCTAGGCAAATGGCCTGAAGATGTGATATCTAAAATAATAAAAATATTATTCTTTACTTGAATTTAAACTTAAAACATTGTCCTCACAAAATTAGATGAGGCAATCTTTCAGTAATAATTATTTGATGCTCCAGCCTTCTTACTAATAAGAGCCATTCAAGGATTTTTAACCTTTTCAACAATATACCAGAATTAAGAAGTCTGAGAACCTATTTTCTGGACCACATTCCTTTGGTATTCTCAATCATCCTGGTCATAGTTGTTTCTTGGCTTTTTTCCTTTGAAAAAGTTTTGCTTCTCATCCGGGGTGGGTTCCTGCCAGTTCTAACCTCTTCTATAAAAGAGGTTCCACAAATCTACAGTGCCGTTTAGAACGGGTTCCAGCTCCCTCCCCATCATCAAGATGAAGAGCGAGAGGAGGAATTCTGAGAGTTGAAGTCCACAAGTCTTAAACCCGGGGGGGGGGGTTCTAAAGGGTTAGGGGTGCAAGGGTCTTGTAACTTGACAGCTTTAAGACTTGTGTGCTTCAAATGCCAGAGTTTCTGAGCCAACATTTTGGTTGCTAAGCCAAGAGCGTTGTTAAGTGAGTTTCACCACATTTTATAAGTTGGCCACTCCCTCCAGGTCACAGGGCTGGCAAGCCACTCCAATAAAGCAGGCCACACCTACAGAAGAGGTTCTAAAATTTTTTTGAAACCCACCACTGTTCTCATCG